GATAATGTATTCATAAAATATATTTAATAGGAAAATACAATTTTGAAAAATAAAATCTGATCTCACATAATTTGACGTAATTTTTGTTGTGATCTCATGTGATATTATACATCATTAAGTATTATTAGTTATTTATAAATACATTAATATATTATTTATATGTTTTGTTAATAATTATTTAAAAGTGTTTATCTATTAAAATTTAATTACGATAATTAATATTAAATTTTTCAAAAATTTTTCCCCCTTTACATTCAAAGAGTTAGTTATATATGTGAAATAAAAAAAGAAGACACAAAAGTTTGTGTAATGATGTAATGTCCTCAATTTTTAGTTTGTTTGTCTTATTCTCAGCTTGTTCTCTTTTATAAAACTCTATCAAAGTCCTACGAAGTGTACAATTCTATCAAAGTCACTCAAAAAGTACGGCCATAATTATTGGAAAACACTTTCAGAGAATATTCACTGATGATCGATAAAAAAGCAACGATGCATTAAGACGTCGCGTTTGCGAAGATGTAGATATTTCACACAATGTTTTGCGCTGTAATGTTGTACAATATGCCGGAATATAATTTTATTTATTATTTTATCACAACGCACTTTTGCAACAATTAATCCGACCACTGTTATTATTTTTATTAACATGAAATGTACGTCAAAGGATAATCATTGTTTCAAACTTTTCTCATAAAAATTTTTCTTAAAATTTTTTACAACATTTATAAGAACTTCTATATAAATGTTTGAATTTTTTAGAATTTCTAAATAATTTTATAACATTTTGAAAAATTTCTCAGATTTCTTTGTACAAATAAAATCCTTTTCAGAAAATCTGAGAGACATCTTTTCTAGAATTCTTTTTATCATGAATTTAAAAAAAATATAGGTATACAATTCCTTATATTACAAATATAGGATTCCCCAATTCTCTAGTATAAAATTCTTTATGTTGCGAATTTTGAAATATCTAAAATAATTTTTTTTTTATTCTATTTTATATCAAATAAAATAAAAGCTGAAAAAAATTGGACACATTTTTCGTAAAGTTTTACAAATTTAATATATGTATTAAATAAATGTTTTTAAATGTGAAACATTATGTGTCTGAGAATGTTGTTAATCAGAAATGAATACAATGAAAAGAATAAAGAGCTGTCAGTAATTATTGAAATTTCAAATAAGATCAGTCATCTATATGGATTTAATCAATAATGTATATCAATAAAAGTAGAAAAGATTAATAAATATAGTTATAATGCCTTTGATTATTTCACAATATGAAACATTTTATCATTATTAGACATTATAGTAATTTATTTAACAAAACTCGCAATGGAAAGCTACAATATATAATATAAATTATAAATAACACGATATACTCTCTATGATAACGTAAATGTTCTCACACGAGTTTTATCTGCGAATAATGTAACATATATTATGATTTTGATCAATAGCAGTTTATTACATTCAATGTAGCTGACAATGGTTGAACAAAATTCTGTAAATTACATCGAATTCAGACTATCGTTGAATATATCGTGATAAGTAATAAAGGTAATAGAGTCAATAAGATTTCTATAAAGTTTTCAATCAAACTAAAATATAAGACATAAGTTAATACATCCGTTATTTTATCTTTTTATTATTTTTTTTTTATAATCATTATTAATTAATAAATATATAATTGAAGAGTAATAATAACTTTATACTATGTTAAATTATTCAGTTACTGCGTTAAATTATTCAGATACCATGTTATTAAATTTTATAATTGAATTAATTAAAAGTAAGTATTGCATGTTGTATGTAACAAGGAATATTACACATAACTCAGCAAAGAATCAAACTATTTTCTTTGCCCAGATATTGCTCATTAATTTCGTATTATGTAAATAAGTTATTCGTTGCCTATACATGCTTTGGTTATTATTTACTTCATTTTACATTTAAAAAAACGCAATCTTTCTCGCTATTTTTCTCAATCAATTATTGTGTTTGAAAAGAGTTTATTTGTTTTATTTTAATTACTTTGTAAAATATTATGTAACATAATAATGTATAGTTTCAAAACTTTTTATGGTATATTTAAGTTATGTTCAAAGTAAGATCGTCGAACAGTACCGTGCAATCACATCACATCTTTAGCTTATTTTGAACGGATTAATACATGTCTTTAATATGTATTATAAACATGGCGATTACTGGTAACCTAACTGGTCTTTAATATGTATTATAAACATGACGATTTTAGTGGACCAACTACTTTATAAAATATCATAATGTCAAAAAAGATTTTAATTATTTAGCGTATGAATTTTTGCTTATCAAAAAAATGAATTATAAAATATCAGTGTCATATATCATCTCCGTAAGATAAAACCGCATTTCGATTACTTAAACTGCATAATCCATTAATTACGAAAACACATCGGTCATACTGTTACATCGAACACGCTTCAATAAAAATATATACTTAAATAAAAGTTCGAAGTTCCCGCGTGGCCTACGTTAGTGATTTCTGTTGGAAAAGTTATGCTGTGAAATACTGCAATAATTGATTGATTTGAATTTCATGAATACAAACTTCATTTGCAATTGTAATTCGACAATTTCTAATGGAAGTCATAATTAATCTTGGTATGATATTTGTAACGTGTTTATTCCACGTTTGTTTATCTCTAGTCTGCGAAAGGTAATTATGTGAAAGATTTTTGATCTCGTAAAAATATAAAATTAAATACTATGCCATCTATTTTTTTCTTAGCCTTTGCACGTTTCAGACACTTCATTCAATATGTCATTAGTTGCTTAATGTCATTTAAATATCAGTTTTTCAAATCATTTCAAATTATAAATGCATTATATATCTACAAATACTATTAAAAAGCTGGAATAATAGTATTGGTGATAATGTAGAAATAACTTTGATGAGATATTTTATTTGTTACAAAAATATTAAATAACATTATACAGGGTGTTTGGAATTTAAATGGTCAAATTTCAGGAATGTGTAGGAGATCGATAAACTAAGAAGAGTCCTGTAGAGATATGCTTGTTTTTGCTTCGTTTTGAACACCCAGTATAGTCGGTAAAGAACGTTAATTGCGACTAGACATTTTTATGTTTTTAAAGTGCTAACATTACGTCAAAATCGAGTCCAAATATTTATCACACGTAAAAAAAATGCGATGAAAAAGGCGTTAAAAATAATAAACATTCTTCCTTAAACTACGAGGGCAAGTCAACTACAAGTCTCTTATCCCGAGCCACCAAAGGCGGCATCGCCTTTCAGGACATAATTGAGTAATTTGAGCCAAAAAAATTTTTAATCGGTCAAGCCGTTCTGGATATACAAGCGGTCGAAAAGTGATGATCCACTATTATTATTTTAATGAAAAATTTATTTATTTACGTATTTTAATTAACGTAAAAATTTACATATTTTAATGAAAAATTAAGAAACGTCTCCTTCTTCTCTGTCCGCATTCAAGGCCGTATTAAAACTTTTTAACATCCTCTCTCACCTTTCAAGGTGGAACCTTGTAGGATAGAATAAGATAGAATAAAATAGAATATTAACAAATAAGATAGAATAAGATAGATCAAAAAAGACCGGAATTCTATCGTCGAGCGCGTAAAATTTCACGGATGTATTTTAAAAATTTACAGACAAATAGCAGATCCTTCTTTAGTATGCTGTAGAAATTTCGTTATGATCGGTCCAGTAGTTTCGAAGTTATTGTACTAGAACCGAGTGTTTGAACCATTCTACGATTTATCACGCGTTTTTAAAATAAAGGTGTTGCAAGAGCAGCGTGTTTGCGTGAAATTTTGCTATAAAAGTTGGGGAAAAACGTGCACGGAGACATTCAAACTGCTTAAGGAAATGTACGGGGATGAGACTACGAGTTCTATTCAGTCGATGGAAGAGAAGCCTAGCTAGGCCTGGAAGGCCATCCACATCATTTAACGACGAAACGAAGGAACGAATCACCAATCTCTTCGCCGAAGACCGCTATGACAGTCACTGAGAGGGAGCTATAATCTGAGACTAAGACGAATTATCGAAGACGTGAGACGAGAACGTCTGGCGTTATGGAAGAAGCGCAAGAAATGGCTATTGCATCACGACAATGCGCGGTCACATATTGCGCTTCGTATTTGAGAGTTTCTCGCTCGTAAAACAATCTGCCAATCGTCCCGCAACCACCCTACTCTCCATAGATCTGTCTCCAGTTGACTTCTTCACCCAAAAAAAAAAAATATTCTGCCGATAAGCGGGGAATTCCTCTTGGCATTTATTCTAAGCAAGATAATGAGGACACATGAGCTACGATCAAAAATAAATTCCTCTGTATAGAAAATTATATTATAATAACTCGAATAGTCTTTTAAAATAAGAGGATATGCAAGATACTTCTTGTATTTCTTCTTATTTCAAAGTTATCATAATAATTAGGAGGAGATTCTTCTATTATTAAGAGGATTCCAATTTTAAATCCGACCCGTAATGCATGGTTAAACGAAATTCCTCTACTTTGGAGAGTATCCTCTCGAGGTCATATATAAGTGGAAAATCCTGTGGTATTAACACGGAACCGCTAAACGGCAGAATATTTTTTTTTTTTTGGGTGTCCCTATCTCTCCGGATAAAGTTAGATTGTTAGTCAATTTAATTCGTGATAGTTTATTAGTTCGCGTTGTAGGGATCGCATTTAAGGATCTACATACATATAGTATATATAAATTCTCTCACACGAAATTATATTAGAAGCATATCAAGATCCAGCTTGACAATAAATGACTTATTTTCTCGTCGGTATTTGGTTATAATTTGTGTTCTGCAGGTATCTTATAGTTATTTTCGGATTCAGCGCGTTTTATGCTAAACTTTATATGCGGTTAATGATTCCAAGATTTCAATTTATAGAGTAGTGTAATTAAACATTGAACAATATTTTCGTCTGAATATTATATTTGAACATTTGTTGCAGTTGCTGTTGTGATAGCGTTCTTCATTTGTTGGGCCCCATTTCACGTGCAACGATTGATCGCTATATACGGCACTAATACAGAAGATCACATCACATCGAATGGTCCATGGATGGAGTTTCTTTATCTTCTAATGACTTACGTGTCGGGCGTATTCTATTATGTGTCCACAACGATCAATCCAATCCTTTACAATATCATGTCAAACAAATTTCGTATGGCGTTTATGGTAAGCAAAACAAAAATCTCTTCTCTCTAAGAGATATCTCTTTCAGATGAAATTAAAAATTACATTATGACATCTTTAAATTTAAATGTAAATATTGTTCTCTGTGACTTCAACCCTGAGGAAAAATTTCAATGAAATTATTCCGCGTCTTGGAACATTGCAGTTGAAATCGTTGAAAAATTGTTGACATTTTACAATAAGTGAACTTTTTAACTGACATACTGAAATTTTGCTGAAATTTCTTTGAAATTTGGCTAAAAATTAATTTTCCAATAAAAATCGCTGAAATTAAACTGAAATTTTTGTTCTATCTTATTCTATCTTATTTCGCCCTCTTTCTTTTGCGTGGCGCTGCATCATGCATGGTATCACCACCGTCTCTTATACATTTTTCTCAACTTCCGGAACGCGCGCGCCATCGCTACTTCTTCCCATAATATATTATGCGTGTCGTTATGCCGCACGATGCTCGAGCGACTTTTGATCTGCGCGCGAGGCGGTGAGATGAGGGGGACAGCGGAAGGCGGAGGCGATTCGAAAATCGGCCGAAAGTTCCACACACTTTATGTATGTTCACTTTGTACTGGCACCTTTAATTAATAATATATCAGTTACTTTTCATGGTAATATATTATTATTAGATAAAAAGGTTTAAATTTTTGTGTATTTCTCCTTTTTTGAACATGGCTTGAACTTTTCATTTTTGTGATATGATTTTGTTCGGGTGTCATTTACTTTTTAGAGTACAAATGTATCACAATATAAGTATTAAAAAATGATTAAAAAATATTATATAACGAAAGAGAGTGAAATGCGGCGAAAGAGATGAGGGGTGGTGGGGGTGAATGTTAAAAAGTTTTAATACTTTACGGCCGTGGATGCGGACGGAGAAGAAGGAAAAGGAGAAGAAGAAGAAGACGTTTCTTAATTTTTCATTAAAATCACCACTTTTCGACCGTTTATATCTTCTAGATCGGCTTGACTCATTGAACATTTTTTTGACTCAAATTACTCATAGCCGCCTTTCAGGACAGATAACGTTCGATTCAAAATTTTCTATATTTTAGTAGTTATGCATCCTCGAAAGATGGACTTTGGTGGTGATGAGAGACTTGTAGTGCTTTCAGTTTTTGAATAGCCGGAGGCACTATCGCGTCTCCTGATTTACATCTATATACTAATACATCACGCATGACATCATAATCAGTCGCATGACTAATTCTTAACGTTTTCATTGGCGCGTGCAAGAAGAAATAAACATGAAATTTAACGCGCCATATCAAGCACAGAAGTTGAAGATGATAGCATACTTAGTTCAATGCACGAAGGTGTTTAACACTCATCAGGGCAGGCGCAGCAGCATATAAGGATATATAAGCTCATTATGCAGGAAATCATGTATCGTGTGCGGTCAGCTTTATGTATTCTTAAGGTTATAGCATATACATACAAAATAAAAGAAGCTTTAAGTATGCCATACTATGAATGATACCAAAGAGTTAAATCCTTTTTTTTTTTTTTAACGACTTTTCCTATTTCTGATTACCGCAATCTTTCATTGGTGCATTTCGTTCGTTTTTAAAGAATGAGATTTATTTTACCAATTTCAAATGAATTCAGTCTGGCCCATTTCAGGAAACATTATCGAAGAGCTTCAGACTCGCTGGATTGCCAGCACGTAATGTGCAACGATCCTATTCTAGCTTGTCGCGATCCCAACAAAGAACCATCGGTGGGTCAAGGATAGCGGAAGCGAATGGAGAATCTGATATAATTGCGGACAGCATGGAAGGCTCGGGAAATTCCATGGAGGAGAATCAACAACAGTCTATAAATAATCCAGAAAATTTACCAGTATCTACTAGAGTTCTAGCTACAACTCGGACAAACTCGATACGAAGTGAATACGCTAAAGAAACGAAAAACAGTAACGACATTCCGCCGAGGAATACCTCGCCGAGCAGTAACTCGCGGTTACTAATCAGCGAGCATCGCAAGAATCGATCAATTCGTAGGAATGAAGAAAATTCGTGGATAAAGAGAACGCAGTATAAAAACGTGCACAACATCTCCAACGTTGATAGTTCTAATAAAAAATGGTGGAGATTTTTTAAGTGGTTCCCCGATTTGAAAGTCCTCGGGTTTTCCAGGGGCTCGACCGTGCCTGAGGATCACATGTTCGACGAGACCAGGAATCCCCACGAGGAGCTATCGATGACAATGTGGAATGTCCGCGATAACAACAAACCGGTAGAACATTAGCAAATATTTTCGTGATTTTGATAACTTTGAAAAGACTGATTTTTTTTCTGCATCGATTTATTTGCATCGACGATACATTGCAACGTTGACTTGATGACGGCGATATGTTCTCGAGGCCTAATTATAAAAGCGAGATTGTTTAAAGTTTTTTTTATGAGAGGGCTGGAGAAGGCTAAGATAAGTGACGTTTGCAGCTCTGCCTCATGATTAATTTAATAACATCCTAATGTATGTTCAACGAACATGGTCAAAGTCACTAGGAAGTCATTTGGAGTTGGTTGTGTAAAGAGAATATGTTTTACCATTTTTCATGGTTTCGAAATGAGAATGTTAAGTTCAAAATTACCGTGCATTTTATAATGAGGTTTTAGTGTATATATTCCTGTTTTTATTTTATTTTTATCGAAATAAAATTTTTTTCATAATGTAATGTTGAATGATAGAAAAAAAAATTTAGCGCTGTAATGCAAATTAAAAAAGACTTATTTGATTTTTGTTGGAAATCATTTGTACGTTTACTAATTTAATAAATAAGCAATGAGAATTTTTTTTCTAAAAACGTAATTAAAGAACTAAATCAAAATTATATCTTTTTTTTTATGTCTACTACTTGTAACTCATTTTTGTAATAGTACGTGTAAATATCGTGATGTAATTATCATTGGATACAATAATGAAATCAGTTTTGAGTAAATCTACTGGAATGCGTTCAGGAATTATGACCAGATAATTCTAGACTATACAGTTCATGGTGCGTATACTACAGCAAGAGTGCACCACTAAAGATATCCAATTGTAATTCCTAAATGCGAAAATTGCATAGTTTATTAATATAATACGCGCTTAAAAGTAAGTAATGAAAACAAGAGTAATGATTTCAGATAACCCAGTTTCATAGACGTATAAAGCGTCTTGAAACGCATCGCGTGTCATTAATTGTGCAAACTACGACATTAATTTTTAAATAAAATTTAAATATTCTCTCACCTATGTAAGTTTATTCTGTATAGAAATATACTGCAGAGTTAATTCAGTTGATCTGATAAAATTGATATAAACTGCAGCATCTGTATGTGTGTGTGTGACGAATTTATTGAAATTTAATGTATGAATGTACAGAGATAGATATGTATATATTTTGTTACGTGGAATGTTATGCTGTAGGGTGTAGATTTATATAATAAATTAATGTAAAATACTGTGGCTTTTCTCACATTGATCTTTATAATGTGATATTATTCATTATGTAAATAATATAGGTATTATATATAAACCGTTAATTGTAAAATTCTTTATTTATTTTTATTTTTTTTATTCACGTGCTTATTGAATGTTGATCATAGCTGTATGCTGTACGTAAAATGTAAATACCTTTGGGTGATCGATATTTTTTATAAATACAGATAAGACATGTGTAATATATGTATGAAATTTATCTGATTATTTATTATCTTTCTCCCTTACTTTTAAATACAGTAGGATTGAATTTAACTCAGATGCGAATCGTTAAAATGGTACAAGTGAATCCTACAAATATTTTCAATATGTTAATTATTATCTTTTATCAAATTTCAAAAATTCTTGCCGTAATACGATGTTCCTGGTGGAAGCAATATTTTTGTATGTAGAATTTTTTTGAAGAATATCATAATTGCAAACATTTTGTCACATAATAATCATGTTAGTATTAATAACGAGATTAACAAGTAGTTTTAAAATTTACAATACATTCATTGCTCTTTATAACAAAAAATGTACTTAAATATATTAAAAGAAATATATGATACCGTAACTTAGCAAAACCTAAATGATCTATGCAGTGGCATTCATCAACATGAGATAATGCTCACACTGCTCACAGTGGAGGATGCGGAGGAAACTTTGCCCATTTATTATGATCTTGAATCGGTCTATGAATTGAAAATGCATCAGTCTCTTGTAAGTAGCACTAAATACTTAGATGAAGCGGGTGGAGCAAGTTTCTTCGTATCTTAGTAAAAGAGATTAAAAATTGTTTTTCTTTCCTAATATATTTTAACAAGAAATCTATTGACACAGTCATAAAAAATCTGATATAAAGCATAATGAGAAATATATACATATTTATCAGATTTTTTATGACTGTGTCAATTTAAAGATTTCTTATCTTGTTAATATTTTATTACAGAACTACAGAATATGAAGTTCAACATCCTGAATTGCAAGATCAATTCACCATACTCCGTATATTCCGTATACCATCACCCTGACTCCTCCAGTAAAAAATGAAGCAATCGTGACTATTCATAGCTTTTTCAAAGAAGCAGAACCATTTGAGACCAGTTTATCAAATTCAGATTATTTCAGTGTTGATCCTGCAGAAGAAATGTTACCTAGTAAAAAGAAATTTCCTGTAAAGATACAGTGTTCACATGTATATTGTTTTTCTGTTCTCACATTTTAAATATTAGTTCTCTTGATAGTACAACAGAAATTAAATTCCGTTGAGAAAAGATTTATTTAAAGATTAGCGTAATTTATTTGTGCCAAAAAGTAGTTTGCAGTTAGCAATCATTTATTTTTAGTCATTTATAATCAGTACTTTATTAAAGAAAAATTGATTCCAAAATTCAAAGAACTTACAGAAACTGTCTTGAGACGACCTGTATATATATTTCAGTGAACGTATACAATTTATTATATATGAACTTTATTTGTTTTTATATAATCCATAATTTAATATTAGAAAATATATTAAACAAAATAAAAAAAATTTTAGGCGCGACGTATAATATAACGATCTCTCATCTTCCAGCTGAATGAATAAACAAATTTAACATAACGATATAATTATAAAAGAATGTACAGTATATTCACATTACTAATCCTATATTGAAGATATGTATCACATTTAATTTATGATACTATTTTTCAGTCCAACGAGAGTTTGCATTTTAAAATATACTTAAAGCAAGATTACTGCTATGACGCATACAATTAGACTATACAAGATTATATAACAGAATTAAAATCTGTGTCTTCCTCTCTATGTCAGTCACATCCAGAATTTGAAATTAGTACTATAATCAAACGCTGTGTCACATTATTGTAAACACGCTTGAACTTTTTCGATCCATTCTTGCGCAGTCATTGCATCAGCAGCGCAGAAGTTGTATGTTCGTCTATTTGTACGAAGCTGTGAAGAATATCATGTTTGTAATAGATGTTTTGGTATGATACAAAATTTAAAAAAGCTAAATATCATAAATTGTATCTGAATTAAACTTAATTTACTTAAAATTATTTATCTTGAAAAGTTAATACATTTTTTAAAATAAAATATTGTAAAAATATTGTAAATATTTAAATGTCTTTTATTAAAATAAAATGTATACTCACATCAAAGAAAGATTTATCATCCGTTTTCTTTGGTGGTCCGGGCATTGGCGCAGCTGGAGTAACAGACACCACCTCAGCCAGATCTATATATGGATAAAATGTGATTTTGTATATATCTATTTTCAAACGTTTTCTTACTCATATATATTTTTTAAATTTGATTACATACCTATATATCCTTTACAGTGCGAATCTTCCACTGCGTCATAATATCTCAGTTGATGCTTTATAGAATCTAGTACAAACCATCTTTGTTTCCAGCCCTTTAATAAAGCTCCTCGTTTATAAAGATAGCCCTCGTGCGTTCTATTTTCCGCCACATTACTTGAGAATTGTTCATAATATTGCTGGGAAGAAGTTTGTATAGTTGTTACACCTGTAAGAAAAATTCATATTAATATAAAGTTGCTGCTATGAAGATTATATGTGAAAAATGCTTGATTAATATCCGTTCAAATTAATGAAATCAGCGCATACTTGAATTTACGCTTCCATTATCGCCACCGCTTCTAGTAAGTGTGTGAGTTTGGAGATTGTCTGTCACAACCTTGTATTTTGTGCAATTCTTTGGCACAGCATCTGCGCATTTGTCGTGACACACGTGACCACAATCAATACATCTTAATCCAGCCTTCACGGGACCCCATAACACGCCCGAACACGCATCGCAATGAGTCGGTGTCGCGGAATCCAATCGTTCGAACCTTTGGCAAACGTTCGCATTAATGATATGTTTAACCAATTTGAGCAAACTGTGTAAATCGACATTAGGGTCCCGATGAAGAAAGAAACAGCGGAACGGAACGACAACGGGAAAGAGATGGTGGGGGATTACTAATGAGAGTAATTCCATTATAATTCCGTTCCGCTGTTTCTTTCTTCATTAGGACGAACTCTTACCTATGTGGATGTGCGTACACAGAGCCTTCGTTTCCGGTAGTGCTTCCACCAGCAAGTTTGCCGCGCAATAATAGTTCTAACGTAGATCGTTTATGAATCAATCGACCATGGTACCGTACGAGTGCCGTGCTGAATGACGCGTGTCGCTAGAAATTAATTACAAATAGGACTTTGCAACAGTTTTAGACTAAATATATTCAGACTAATCTGATATTAATGTGTATTAAAGATACCTCGAAACTTTGTGTTACAAAGTCTCGAAGTATCTTTAATACACATCGATATATAAATTTGACAAATATTTCATATATTCTTTCTTAATTATTACAAATGTTAATATTAATAAATTTTGCTCGTTTTTTGCAATGCAAATTAAATGATTAAAACGATTTGGAACACTTTAATAAGAATAAAATATATTTTGATAAGAATAAAGAATTTCTTGTAGGAATACATTCTGTTGCGACTTACAGCAAGTGAATCAGTGTTTGGTAATTCAAGTTTATCCCAAAGTACTTTCCATTTTTGCGGTAAATGTCCCAATTCGGTTTCCAACTTGTGAATTTCTTCTAAAAGATGCGAAAACTGATCGGGTACCATTGTGCTAACTCCGTCGTATCTACGAAAAAGATTGTAATTTGTAATTTGATGATTTCCTTGAAAGCGCTAAATGTGGCATTTGAAGTAATAATCACCCCTGAGTGACCACTTTACGATTACTCTTAACCACGCCATCTGCAGCCTCAGCCT